AGGGAGACAGCCGATGAAGGGAGACAGCGGACAGTATAAGATATGAAAAGAATAATAATTTATAATTTCCAAGGGTTCACAAGGGTGGGAGGGTGGTGGAGGGAAGTAAAAAGAGGAGCTGATACAAGGGCTCGTGTAGATGAAAGTATTTTGAAAATGATGGCAACATGTACACAAATGTGCTTGATACAATTGATGTATGCATTGTTGTTATAAGAGCGGTAAGAGCCCTCAATACAATGATTTATTAAAAAAAAGAGGGAGAGATTGCCTGGTCTATAGGTTCACAGTCAGACTGAAAAGCACAGTGCCCTCAAGGAACTTGCCATCTACTTGTCAAAGCAGGATTATGCAACAGTAGCTATGCATGCAACATCATCTATGCAGGTAACAGCATCTATGCAGGCAGCGGTAGCTATGCAGGCAACAGCACCTATGCATCCAACAGTAGCTATGCATGCAACAGCATCTAGGCAGGCAACTGTATGGGTGGGGGGTCATGTAGACAAAAGGGAGGAAGAAATAAACAAAGGTAGGCAGAGGTGAACTTGAAGAATGTCTGGAAAAACAGAAAATGCAGTATAAAGGGCGCACCTGTAAATGAGCATGTTGCCTCTGTAGGATGAGAGAAAACGTGTAGAAACGCAAGGCTGATGTTGGAAAGATGCAGAAAATAAAGTTACAAAGTTAAATCGGGCTAAGACTGAGGAATGTAGAAGCCAGGATAAGAGGTGAGACTTTCTACCAAAGGCAATGGGGAGCCATGACGTGTGGTTGGACCACTGGAAAGAGCATTCACTTTAGAGTCAGTCAGCTTTCGAGTTGGTCACAGCTTCCAGTAAGATAAGTATTGGAGAAGAGTTCTCACAGTAGGGTATGTATAAAAGGCTGATGTGGTTAAAGATGTGCAGAATGGGAAAAACTCAATTACAGAGAGGCTATGGCTTCACTGACTATATAATCACCTCAGAACACAGGGGCAGTTGAGAGCCTTGGCTTGAAGGGGAGAAGCGGGAAGAGACTTTGAGGGGCTGCTACAAAGGGAGAGTTAACAGGACTTGAGAGATGAGTCATAGATGGTCCTTAAGCTTCAAGTCTGTGTGATGAGGAGAATGCTAAGAGCATCAAGAAGAGAGGAATCTTCTTATCATGAAAGGAATGGGTTTAGCAGAAGACCAAAATAAAGAAAGTGTTATCAGGCATGTAAGCCTTAGCGTGAGAATAAGGCATCCACACTGAAAAGTCTGTTAAGCAGCTGGGTAAATGGGGAGGGCCAGGACTGGCTTAGGTCAGTACTGAAGATCTGCATGGTGCGAGGAGAGGTAACAAGAGCTCATTTAACATTTTATATGAGCAAATAAGAATACTAGCCAGTAAACAAGTCATGGCGATGATATAAACAGGGGAGAGAACACACCACACGCTCTTTTGCTTTGCTGGGGTGGTTCGGATGCTATCCAGGGCCACAGTACTAAGTGAATACACTTCAGGAGAAATTCAACATATGGTCCATTTACATAACAGGCACCACAAGTCCAAATTAGCCATTTTGATGTGTCAAGGAAATAACACCTTCACAGCAAATGACTTCAGGAAAGGGAAGAGAGGAAAGGTTTTCTTTCTATACTGTGGTTCCTGGATTAGCTACGGTGGGAATCATGGAAGGTGTATTTTCATTGTGTGGTTGCATCCTAAGGCGGACCAGTGATGGGTGAACTGGCTGCTCGAACTGCGAGCACAATCACAAGCCGGCCCACGGCGTACATCTGCCGGCTTACATATCCCCCTTCCTGCTCTGCATCGTGCAATAATCACAGGAGCCCGCTGTCCGTCAAGCCCAGGAAAGGGTCTTCAGAAACAGAGAAGAGACACGATGGTGCAGGGATGACGCAGCATCTGTCTACAGGTAGCTCAGCTGGTGAGACAGGTGGCAGCAGCCCTATGTTGTCAGGTGTGCTCAGGTCGGGTCTGGCTCAGAGTGACCTTCTGTGTAACAGGTAGAATCACAGCCTGCTCCCGTGCCCTCTCTGCCACTGCTGTGTTCGAGTTCACGGGTGCAGCCCTGGGCTCAGTCCATTTTGTTGAGGGTCCTCTTTCCCACCGTTCCTCTGCTTTCCCAGGCCTGATGTCCTCCTCCAGGGACTGGCCCTTCATCATAACATGATCAACGTGAGGGAGGCCACGTCCCACGACTGACTGTCACTTCCGAACAGCAGCCTGCGGCCTAGTACAATTCTTCAGAGCTCTTGACTCACTTCATAAGATGCCAGTCAAAACAACATAGAGGCAGAGAAATGACCAACACCTATGTGCCTTCCCGACATAAGCCCTCAAGGAACATTCGTTGGGAACGATTTTCTGACCCCAGACTGAGAAAGTAAGAAAACAGGGCCTCCAGAGGTGTCTCAGGGACTCCGGAGGTGACTTGTCTAAAGCTTCACCTCTGCTGGAAAATAGTTTTATTTACATGGCAAAGCTGCTCTGTGAAACGCTTCAGCTTGGCAGTGCTTCAAAGCCTAGGAAGACCAAGGCTGCAATAAGCCGCGGTCTAAGTGTTTCCTTTCCCTGGTCAAGAAGCACATGGGGGGGGGGGGGGCAGAGCAGCTTCACAAGCCCCCAGGCGCCCATCTTCAGATGCAGAGTAGCCACTTGGAAACCAGTGAGGGTACGGAAACTGTCGACCAGAGGGCTCCCAAAAAGCAAAATAAAGACACAAGAAGCTTCCATCATTCTGCTTTGTCAAAATGAGTTCGCTGAACTCAGTTGATGCTTAAGAAATCATTTCATACTTTCAGAGGCAGAGATTAGAGAAAGAAAATTGCCAATTAATACACCATTTCCCCGGATATGCCTTTTTTTTTATAAACCCTTAAATATTCGCTGCATTCAAGTGATTGTATTTTTATGCAAATTACACTTTGGGGATGATCGTGGCTGGTGGTCTCTAGTGCATGTGTGCATACATGGTGTGTTTATATCCACACACAAACAGAATCTGATGTATTTTTTGCCTCTGCTCCACAGAATAGTTTAAATACAGTGTGAGTTTATTCTAAAACTCTTATCAGAGGCTGCAAGCACTGCCTACCTTATGCAAATGGAAAATTATACCCAAAGTTGATTTATCCTCAGTTAGAGATCCAACAGTCACTGCTATCCACAGATATGTTTAAACTATGGCTACTTAATAAAACTGCTCTGATTCACACAACCCACTGCTTTCTGGTTAGGATACAATTCCATACAGATCATAAAATATGTTTTCCAGAAGGCAGCACGGTCTCTATTTTGAGAGTCTCTGGACACCCTCTCCCTGTGAAGGATTTCAGACTCCCTGCCCCTTCTGTCCCCTGTCACACTGCACATCTGCCTTTTCTCTGGAAAACAAATCCGGAGTAGCAGTGAATCGTTTCTTTTAAGACCAACTACACAGATGTCTCCCACATTCATAAACACGCCTGTGGCTCCGCAGAGCTTTTACAACGGCAGTGTTGCTTAGTGGGATTCTTCACTTCTCTCCCCCAAAAGTCTGCGGAGGTTGGTGCGTTTCTCATATTTTTTCAAACAAAATCTAAAAGTGAAAACACGACCCAAGGTCCTTGCAAAGAAAGAGGCTGTGTTTGAAGTTCAAGGGGTTGCACTAGTTCTCACGCAACACACCCTGAAATAGACAGACTCAGAGGAAACCGCTGTACAGAAAGGCTCTTTAATGTAAGCGCCACCAGGTCTCCACACGTCACCCCGGGGCTCGGGAAGTTCGCAAACGCACCAGCACTGGCCGAGGGCCAGGGAGGGCACTGGAGGGTGGGGGGGCTCTCTGGGCACCGGCGTCCCAGGGAAAGTCTCCGCGAGTCTCCCCCGGGGCTGCCGGCGAGCCTGCCCAAGACCCCGCT